CCCTCTTACCGCCGCCACCACCACCACCACTGCCGGCACCACCGCGGATACCAACGCCTGGCGGGAGGGTGGCTGCACCTGCTGCTGTTGATGGTGTTGTGGACGAGCTCGGCACGTCCGTGGCAGCAGACTGCGTCGACGAATCGGAGCTTTGCGCTGCACATGTGTGTGATGTGGTGTGTGTGTGTGTGTGTGTGTGTGTGTGTGCGTGTGTGCGCGCGCGCGTGTGTGTGTGTAGCGTGTGTTTTGTTGCGAGTGGGATTGAGTCGTGAGAAGTGAGCCGCATGTGCCGAGATGAGTTCAGCGTAACGGCTACACCACAACATCAGGGGTCGCGTATGCCAGGATAATTCAACCAACACGGACACACACACACACACACACACACACACACACACACACATTGAAACAGGGACGTACTTGTGCTCTTTGGTCGTTTCTTGAAGGAGAGCCAGGAGAGCAGCTGGCTCATGCGAAGTCACGCAAGAATGCAAACCAATGTGAGCGGTGAGTGAGTTGTGCATGATGCAATGGGCAAATTAGCAAGGGGGCTCACCGCCATGATTCTGACCATGATCAACAACAACAGCAGCAGCAGCAGCAGCAGCAGCATCGCCTTCACCTTGTGTCGCCGACCATCATGCCCGACGTCGTGACGCGATCTGCCAAAACACACACGTACACACATACACGCACACAACACACGCACACAAACGCAAAGAGTGAGTGCCAAGATGTGCACATGTGCGTTTGCTGGTGCCACCACTTGCGCGCGTGCTCACCATATTACACACTCATGTGCATGTGCATGGCTGCACCCTTGCACCAATTGCATCAAATGAACAAATTGCGTCAGTCGCATTAATGGCATTGGTTGCATCAGCTGCTCACGTTGTGGACGGGGACCGGCTCTTGTCGCGCGGTTGCGATTTCCGGTCGATTGTTGTCGTCATTCGCAGCCGCTGTGCCGTCTGCTCCACCATCACGTCAAACACAACCGCGGGCTGTATCCCATTGCACATGCAGGGCGTGTTGGCGTGTTTGCAGGGATGGATGGCGTGAGTGCATGAACAGGCGCGCGCGTGGCGTGTATGTGCAGGTGTGTGTGGGTGCGTGTGTGTGTTTATATGTGCTTGTGTGCTTGTGCATGTGTGTGTGAGTGTGTTGTGTGTGTGTGTGTGTGTGTCTGTCTGTCTGTCTGTCTGTCTGTCTGTCTGTCTGTCTGTCTGTCTGTCTGTCTGTCTGTCTGTCTGTCTGTCTGTGTGCCTGTCATCGTGTGTACTCACTATGCGGCAGAGCTCCGCTGGACGGGTGCAGACGACGGTGCAGTGGCGTCGCGTCTGGTAGATGGTCGCCAGCTCGCCAAACATCGCAGGCGCAGTGAACGACCCAACCTGATGATCAAGTTGGCGGGGTTGGTGGTGGCGGTGGTGGTGGTGGTGGTGATTACTCCATACAACCGCAGGAACACATGGCGAGACACATGCAGCTGCAGATGTGCACGAGCCCATCGCAAGTGCATACATGCATGCAATTACAGCAGCCAAGGTCATGCGTCGTGACAGCACCTGTGCTTGTGCTTCGCTCTGCAAGTCCTTACGCATCACTTTGAAGCCACCCCTGTCACGTGCATCGATGAAAGAGTTGAGTGGACGTGTGGACGTGTGAGTAAAATCAAGCCACTTGAGCAGGACAAGAAAAACAGCAACTCGGAACAAAATTTACCATCCACACACACACACAAACTCAAGACTCCAGCATTGTCCGCCAGCACCACAACCACCACTCTTCACCGCCACCACCGCTGCCGCGGTGCGTACGCGAGTGCAATGTAGAATCCTTCGTGCGCCGCGTCGCCCTCCGTGAAGATGGTGTCCCCTGGTCGCGCCTCAAACCGGTGGAACTTTGGGAAGTACGCGCGCAGCATCTCCTGTGCGGTCAGACGGGCGGTGGTGGTGGTGCGCGTGATGTGTGTGAGTGATTGTGTGTGTGTGTGTGTGATGTGTGATTGTGAGGACGTAGACAAAAGTGCTTGTGTGTGTGTGTGTGTGTGTGTGTGTGTGTGTGTGTGTGTGTGTGTGGACGAAGCAAACACCAGCGAAATACACGTCACATCACCACCCCTCACCCCCCAACACACACACACACACACACACACACACACACACACACACACATGTGCACACACACACATGTGCACACACCTGGTCGTCCTCGTAGAAGATGTTGAGGCGCATGAGCTGGTGCATGATGGCGGCGTACGCCTCCTCCGCGGGCTCCAGTGCCGTCGGCGCCGCTGGCACTGGTGTGCTCACCGCCCGCGTTCGCGCATTCAGCGACGGCAGCAGGTGCAGCTTCTCCACGGCAGACTGCTGAACATGAGGGAGGAGAGTGTGTGGATGGTGTGATATGGTGTGTGTGTGTGTGTGTGTGTGTGTTGTGGTATGTGTGTAGTGTGATGTGTGTGTGTGTGGTGTGTGTTGCGTGTGTGTGTCGTGTAATGTGTTGCGGTGTGTGTGCAGTGTGATGTGTTGTGTGTGTGTGTGTGTGTGTGTGTGTGTGTGTGTGTGTGTGTGTGTGTGTGTGTGTTGTGTGTATGTGTGTGTGTGCGACATAAGTGTGTGACATGCGGTATTATTGATCAGTGCGCGCCGTAGTGAAGTCATGTACACGTCTCGTTCCCTCTTCCATGTCGCGTCTCCCCCCCCCCCCCCGTCCAACAACAGCAATGGCATCCCCTCATGACGAAGCAGCAGCACCCGGCCGGCATCTTCCGCTTACCGTGGATGGCAGCCGCAGCGTCGCGCGAGGCGCACGGAACAGCGACGGCAACAACGACGTGTCACTGATGCGGGAACAGCACGGAAATGGGAACGGCAATACAGCACCAGAAGCAGCAGTAGCAGCAACAGTCGCGCAAGTTACAGCACCAGCACCAGCACCAGCACCAATTACAGCAACAGAAGCAGCAGCAGCAGCAGAGCGGAACAAGTGAGTTCAAAACACGTCCATCACCCAAGTGACCAGGTTCCTTTGCACAACGACCACCACATGATAAAGGACGACAAGGGAACAAAAGCAAACTGGCCCTGTTATTTTTTCTCCCTCTCACTGCAACAGCAGCTGCACAACGTTGCCTGCGAGCAAGAGCGCACAACAACCAAGGGCAAGAATCGTACGCTGGATCGTGGCGGACGGGGATGGAAAGCACGCTGATGGGCATTTTCTGCAGCAGCACACACATGTCGCCGTGGCCTAAGACAAGGGATGGATGGTGTCGTGGTGGTGGTGGTGGTGGTGGCGGTGAGGGAGACACAACTTCAAGTGGTTGGCATGACCCAAACCAACAAAAGCAGACACATCCGATGGTGATGGTGAAGTGACAACACACACACACACACACACACACCAATATGACGGCAATACGTGCATGCATCCACGCCAGTGCGTGTGTGTGTGCGTGCGTGCGTGTGCGTGCGTGCGTAACAAATAGGGTGGCATAGAATACGGCGATCAATAATTCCCTCACGAATGATGCAATGGTCTTCGTGGGTTAGAAATAAGGCCAGCACTGCCGAGAAAGGTGGGGGGCGGTCTACCGGTCAAGGACTACCTCTCTGACTGTTTTTCACTTTTTCGAGCAAGTCGCAACCTTAGTTGAATTTGGTAATGCTGATTGATGCACACATAGTACGAACTACGGTCCTAACAATCAAGCACGGCGATGAACAGTGCCTACACGAATAACGCTATAGTTCTAGTGTGTGTGTGTGTGTGTGTGTGTGTGTGTGTGTGTGTGTGTGTACCGTTTTCCTTTGCGAGGTCGAGTGGCACCTTGCCATCGTTGTTCTTGACCTTGTAGCTCGCGTGCTCTCCAACAATCAGGCGCAGGCAGATGCCGCGCTGCCCGTAGCTGTTGCATGCGGTCGTGGTGAGTGTTAATGGTGGTGTTAGGGGTGAGGGTGAGGTGGGCGTGTGGTGTGGAACATGAAGCTCGTGGCACAACACGGCAAAGACAACAACAACAACACACACACACACACAAAATGCGTACGCAATACACACACACACACACACACGCACGAATACGCACGCAATATACACACACACACACACACACACACACACACACACACACACACACACACACACACACACAATACGCCAAAGTGCCCGCTCGCAGCATGACAAGGAGCGAGGGGGGGGGTGCGGACCGGGCTGCGTCGTGCAAGGGGGTGTTGCCATCGCCATCGACTGTTGTCGCCGGCTGTCAACAGCGAATGCAGACAGACACGATGAGCGCGCGCACGCACACACACATGCACGCACGCACGCGAGCGGTGATGGTGACGTGAGGTGACGTGCAGTACCAGTGCACCGAGCATGCACACACAAACAGTGTTGATATCGACACAAATGATGTGCATCGTCATCACACACACACATGCACATGCACATGCAGACGGAGCGCGCACCACTTGTGTGAGGATGTATGAGACGTCGCGGAGAAAGCCGTCACGGATGGTCTGCGAGAGCTGCTGGCGCGAGAAGTGCTCCTCGCTCAGCGCCATCCCCTGAACACACACATAAACACACATGCACACACACACACATGAACGCACACATGAACGCACACATGCACACACACACATGCACACACACACGAATACACATAAATACACACAAGCACGAGCACGAGCACGTGTCAGCATATGACGCATGACATGTCACCATTGCCCCGCGCTCTCATTCCACCGACGTGCACTCGTATGTGCACGCACACGCACCCACGCACACACGCACACACGCGCGCGTGAGCACCTGCCACGCCTTGAGCGGGCGCATGTGTATGGCGAGTGTGCTGTCTTTGCGCCTCCGCAGCACACCCGGGTCACCGCCGCTGCCCGTGTTCGTCGTGGCGGTCAGTGGTGTTTGGGGCCGTTCGGGTGAGGACGTGGGGAGGCACGCGCACCCTCTGACGGCAGCAGCCGTTTGTTGCTGCTGCTGTTGTTGCTGTTGTTGTTGTTGCTGTTGGTGCTGTTGCTGTTGCTGCTGTTGCTGTTGGTGCTGTTGGTGTTGTTGTTGCTGTTGTTGTTGTTGATGTTGTTGGTGGTGTTGACTGGTGTGACCGGGAGCGCCGTCGTGTTCGCGCTGTCACCGCTGCATTCGTTCCCGCCGCTACCGCTGTTGCTTGACACATCAACACCGCCTGTAAGGATCGCGGTTGCGCTCACAGCCTCGTTCTTCGTTCTTGGCACTGCCCTTGTGTTGTGATCTCGCCACACGTCGCAGCCGCCTGTTACTGCTGTTCAATGCTGTCACTGTCACTGCTGGTGCTGGTGCTGCTTGCCACCAATCCCTCTCCCCCAACTGCAGTGCGACGGCGTGTGCTGGTGGCTGAAGGCGCTCAATTTCCGTGCTGGTGCTGGTGCTGACGGTGGTGATATGGAGGTGCTGACACCAGGGGTTTGGTGCTGGCACGTATCAATATGCCGTGCGTGCCGCAACGCGTCCGCAGCCGCGCGATGCGCTCCGGTGGGAGATGTTGGGAAGCCTGTGCTGATGTGGCGGAGCTTGCGTGATGGAAAGTGGTGGTGATGGCTTGCACCCGTTTGCACCCCTTCGCCGAACACGGCTTGCGTTGCGTGTGGTGCTGGTGGCTTATGGATATTGCTGTCGATGATGATGATGGCCAGGTTACGTTGTACGGTGCACGTTGAGGGCCTGTTGTCAACTCCACCACCACCTGGACGTGTGTCGCTCGTCGCCCTGCCGTTGCTGTGGTGCGTGTTCCCCCAGAGCAGGTTGGCTGATTGACGCGCTGCTGCTGCAACCCAAAAACCCTCGTCGTCCCCGTGCCGTGGCGGTGCCGCGGAGGTGCGTGCTGCCTCTTGTCGCTTGCTCCCCCCGTTTCCGTGATCAGGGAGGGTGTTGCTTGGTCGTGTGCTTGCCAAGAAGCCGGCAATCCAACCACCGCCTTAAAACACTAAAGACAACACACCGCAAACAATTGAACCGCCGCCGCCAAACACGACCTCGCGTTGGGAAACGTGTGGTGGATGTTTACGGCGGTGTGGGCGGGTGTGTGTGTGTGTGTATGTTCTTCGTCTTGGCCGAGACGTCAAGTGTTGCTGATGCTTGCAGTTGATGTCGCTCTGGGTTCCGATGACGGGAGTTGATTGATGCTGGGCTGACTTGCATGCACATGCGTGTGTGTAGCTGTGGACGTATCACAATGTGTGCGTGCGTGCGTGCAGACGTGCACGTTCGCACGCATCCGGTGTGTCTGGTGCGTGTGCCTGGTGCGTGTGCGTGCCCCACCCACCCCTTTTCCCACCTTTGACAACAATTACGAACCTGTTGGCCTTGACGCGTGTGTAGATGATCGTTGTAGGGTTTCCTTTGCGCCCACTCCCACGGGACTGTTTCACTTTAGCTTGCGGGTGTGTTTAAGCGGGGTGTGTATTTGTGTGTCTGCGATGTGTGTTTATGTGGTGTGTCGGGGTGTGCATGTGTGTGTGTGTGTGTGTGTTTGCGAGACAGCGGTACAGTGTGAGGGGAGACGGCGGCAAACAAGACATACAAACACCCACACACACACACACACACACACACACACACACCCCACACACACACACACACGCACACCCCCCACACACACACACACGCATGCAACAGGATGCAGGCACGGACACACCGACAGGCTTGCATGCTGCTTGAAGCAGCACATGCAAACCAAGCAAGCAAGCGTAAACACACGCGCTCGTGGGGAGGGACATACGAACATACACACGGACTACAGGGCGAGCTTGCACGCTTGGCGTCATCAGGCACGGCAAGCAAGCAAGCCAGCGCACCTCGATATGAGCACACACAACAATGCAGTGGCAGCAGCAGCAGTAGCAGGCGTTGGTAGGCTGGCTGGCTGGTGGGGTTTGCAGCTGGTTGGTTGGTGTTGGTGGGTGCGAACCGCAACTGCAAAGAAAGACCAAGAGGCAGGAACAAGAGGCAGGAACGGTCAATCGATAATGAGCGTGTGGGTGCAAGAGCGGGTTCTCAAAGACGAAAGACGTGTCCCACCAAACGCGCGTCGTTGTAGGTGCGAAGAGCGGTTGATTGAGGTGGCGTACTCGTTGCGTGCACACACTACAAACACACGCACAAGAAGCAAACACATGCAAGAAGTGCGCTTTACACTTGACACACGCAAAGTAGGCGGTGTCCCACTCACCCGCACAACAACACCTGCAAGGCGTACCTCGTGTCGCGTGCGATAAAGTGTCGACCAAAGGTGGCGATGCGAGTAGAGGAGCGAGAGGTGGGTACACAACGAGCACACAAACGAGCACACAAACACGCCCAACAGCACACGCCACCCGTTTTCTGCAAGCAAGTCTGCGAGGTGCGCAACCAAAGGTGGGCGGGGATGGTTGGGACAACGACGTTGCGCCAAACTTTGGACATTTTCTGCATCGAATCCCACACGAAACTAGCAACTGTTGAAAGACTTGATGCTGGTTTAATGAAATTTGGCCTATTCCGGGTAACTGGCATGCCCGCTTCAGGGAACTGCCTCGCACGCAAGACATTTCGCCATGTTTTCCGTTGAACGAAGGATGCCGAAACTACGACACCATCATTTATACTAACTGCACAACACCACAAAGCGTTGTTGGATCATTCGTGAAATCTTCCTATGGTTGTCACTATCCCATACAGCCACAGACAACGAGAACGACGAGTGCGAACGACGAGCACGACTGCACACACGCACACTCACGCACACACAAGATGAGCACAGACGATGCACTGGATCTCACCGCCCCAGCCGGCTTTGAGCCCGGGTACTCACATGTGTGTGTCTGTGTGTGTAAATGTGTATCTGTGTGTGTGTGTCAATGTGTTTGTGTGTTTCTGCTGTATTTCTGCTGTATCTCTGCTGTGTGTCTCTTGATGCTGGTTAATCACATGCATACCAACACAGCACGATGTGTCTGTGTTGTGTGGTTGTGTGTTGTGTGGTGCAGAGGCGCGCCAAATGAACGCTGCTTGACTTGTCTCCATCGCCACACACTCACGCGCCCCACCCCACCCCCATGTGCTATTGCAGCATGGACGAGGGAGAGGACTTGCGCGCCACGCTCAACAAGAGACAAGGTGTGCTGTGGAGGCAGGCCTGCATCCTTTCCGTGTGCCGTGTGCAGTGTCGTGTCACATGAGCTTACATTGCATGGTGTTGTGCCGTACACCTTTTTGTTCACACGTCCTTCTCATAGCAGGCGAAGAAGCAGAGATTGCACCAGGCGCACCGCAGCGCTGTAAGCATACCTTCCATTTGAATGTTATGCGTACGTGCGAGTGCGAACGTGAAGATGTGAGCGCTTGCTTCCTTAGTATTACACGGGGCCAGCCCTGTCACAGCTTTGTCGCTGACAAAAGTGTCACCGCCACCATTCCCACCTGCAGCTGTCGAGGGTTGGATTGTGATTGTGACAAACGTGCATGAGGAGGCCCAGGACGATGACATCTACGTAAGCGGGCGCACGTGTATTTGTGTGTGCGTGAACGTGTTTGTGTTTGTGCGTGTGCATGTGTGTGCGTACATTTGTGTGCGTGTTTGTGTTTTTGATGTGTGTGTCTGTCTGTCTGTTTGTGTGTGTGTGTGTGTGTGTCTGTCCGTCTGTCTGTGTGTGAATGTGTTGGCGCACTTTTTCATGAGCAAGGGATCATGCAGTGTCGAATCATGTGCGTTTGTGTGCGCAAGCACACGTACATGCTACTGTTGAGTCGTTCAGCAAGGCTAACGCAGTCACCCTCTCCGGCTCGCTTGTTGTTTGTCGCGCAAAGGACAAGTTTACAGAGTTTGGCAAGATCAAGAACCTGCACCTCAATCTGGACCGTCGCACGGGTTACGTCAAGGTCAGCCACTGGGCGTCTCTAATGCTCTGTGTGTGTGTGTGTGTGTGTGTGTGTGTGTGTGTGTGTGTGTGTGTATGGGGGTAGTGGGAGCTCTACTGTTGTGTGTGTGTGTGCGTGATAATATGTGGATGGACGTTTCTTCGTCCTGCTCTTGTATCCTTTGCAACACATTCCTCGCATGCGGGTTGGCGCGCAATTGACAGTTCTCTGCCTCCCTGCCCCGCCCTCCTTTCTACCTTGCTGTATTCATATATGCGTCATGGCTTGCCGATAGGGCTATGCTCTCGTGGAGTATGAGCAGCAGGAGGAGGCAGCACGCGCCGTCTCAGAGGTGCGGCAGCAGTGGTTTGGAGTGCAAGCTTCAGGCGGGGGATGGAGTGCTGGCAACGTTGTTGTTTGCATGTTCTCGTGTCCGTGTGTGTGTGTTCTTGTGTTCGGTTGTGTGTTCTTGTATTTGATTCGCACAAGCTGTCCCCTTCTCCCCTGTTGCTCCAATGCTCACCCCTACGCCCTACGCCCCTTTTTGTGTGTGTGTGTGTGTGTGTGTGTGTGTGTGTGTATGTGTGTGTGTGTGTGTGCGTGCGTGTGTGTGTGTGTATGTGTGTGTGTGCGTGCGTGTGTGTGTGCTGCCTTTCAGGGCACGGGCCAGGAAGTGCTGGGGCAGGAGGTGACGGTCAACTGGGCGTTTGTTCGCGGCAACAAGGGCGGTCGCGGGTACGTGCACATGCTTACTACTGCTGATGCTGCTGCTGCTTGTTGAGTTTGCGTGTGTGTGTGTGTATGTGGGAGTGTATGTGTGTGTGTGTGTGTGTTTGTGTGGGGGGGGGGGTCTGTGTGTCTGTGTGTCTGTGTGTCTGTGCGTCTGAGTAGCTTCGCTTGCCAGCGCTGCATTCAACCCCAACCCCGGCTCACTAATCACCACCTCCACAACCACTCATCGCGCTTGCATGCGCAGCCGTGGCGGCCGCTTCCGCTAAGCACCACCGTTCGTGTGTGTGTGTGTTTGTGTGTGTGTGTGTGTGTGTGTGTTGTGTGTGTGTGTGTGTGTGTGTGTGTGCGTGCGTGATGTATGACTGCAATCACCCATGTTATGCTCGTGTTGTCGTGTGTCACTTGTGCTGTACGTGCGTGTGGTGTGCTGTTGTCTTGTTTCACTTTGTTGCTTTGTTGCAGCTTGCACTTGTGTGTGTGTGTGTGTGTCCTCCGTGAAATAGAGCACAAAGTTCTGTGATGTGACGAAACATACCGACTCTTTCTCAGCCAAACTGTTTCGCACGTACACCAATCGGGATGGCCACCAAGGAGCAACCAAACACGGTTGCGACCAGCATCTGCAACCAAGCACACACCCATCAAGCACGAGTGCTCTCGTGTCGGGTTGGTGACATCGATTGTGGGGTGTTCGTGTTTATGGAGGAGTTGATGTCAAAACCAGAAACTCAAACTCGCATGCGTTCGCTTTGAATGAAACGCTTCAAACGTGGTGTTGTTATGTTGTTGTTATGTAGTTGTTGTTGTTATGTAGTTGTAGTTGTTGTTGTTGTTGTTGTTGTTGTTGTTGTTGTTGTTGTTGTTGTTGTTGTTGTTGTTGTTGTTGTTGCTGCTGTTGTTGTTGTTGTTGTTGTTGTTGTTTGTGCTAATGAGCGCACGACACGTGCTTGAGAGAGAGAGTGTGTGTGTGTATGTGTGTGTGTGTGCAACAACGTGAACATGCATCATCATACCATCACACCACCATCACACCACCGTGGCCACGGCCACCATCACTCGACGACGACGCTTGTTTCCGAGTTCTTGGTGATGATCTGTGCAAGCGAGCCGCTCGCTGGGCGCTCCCCGGTCACCCACCCGTGGAACAGGCTGACCACGCACACAGGGAGTTGTTGAAGAGGGAAGATGAGGGGGGTGATTGTGTGTACGCGAATGCATCGGGAAAACACAACGTACGAGGACGTACACAGAGAGACAGAGACAGAGAGAGAGAGAGAGACGAAGACGTCGCCACAGAAAGAGAAAGAAAGAAAGGGAAGACGCAAACATCGACACACACACACACATGCACTTGCACACACACACACACACACACACGTGTGCATACCTTGCGACGGCGCCGAGTGGGGTCCAGGCGGACGTGTCCGCGTCCTTCATGAACTTGCGGTTCATGGGCGTGTCAAGCGTGATCCTGGTGGCGGCGTCGATGGTGGAGGGTGAATGGTGATGGTGAAGGGGTGAATGGGGGGACGTGAGAGAAGAAGAGAAGGAATCGCAGAGTCGCGAGTTGAAAGATTGGGATGATCAGTGGCAGATGGCCACAGGAGTAGATATCATCATGAAACAACACGACACGACACACCGCGTCATCACCACCACCACCACCACCACCACCATAAACAACATCTTCTCCCACCACCTCCTTCTCATCTACTCCCCCCCCCCAACCAAACACACACACACACACACACACACACACACACACACACACACACACACACACACACACACACAC